ATGAATATTAAAAACTTACCTGTATATTAGCTTTTAATAAGTGCCAAATTATTCCTTTTGATTTGGTTGCATGAAATTTTCCGTCGGTGCAGAACAGAACACAATACTTTATAAAAATTTGTTTATTTTGCAATGATTGTATTGTATGTATAAAACTACTTTCTAATTACGTTTAAATATTCATCTATATTGGGAATATGAAGTACTCTTGTGATTATACCTTCATAATCTGTTTCCTTCCGATTAACTGACTTGATACCTTTTTACAGTAATAGTTATATATCTCTATTAAAAATCACTTGCTTATCTGTTATTTAAACAAAAGATTATTACAAATAGTGTATAGAATGATATTTTGAAGGAGAAAAAGTAAAGCAAGTCAGTTCATCGTGTGTGATAAAAGATTCGTTAATATTTTTACATTTTATGTAAAATTTTTCGCCGTGTGTGATAATGTATTAAGATTACATTTTATACTATGCACGAATACCTATTATTTCTAGGATACGATTTCTTTAGTTCTAACACGCGCGCACGTATATGTATTAATTGTTGTTACAGTCTATTGTATTTAAGCTCTTCAATTAATAAATTTCACAGCTTTATCCGTATATTGTCGTAATTGGCGAAAATTTTGATAAATATTTTGTTATACGTTTAAGAATTTTCATAATAAGACTATATTCTAGAAAACGCAAGACCTTGTGTACGGTTCTTATCGAATTTTCAATTGAGAATCGATTTTATAAGAACTAAAGTCTTTGTTATAGTTAACTAATCATAAAACAAAATTTATTTAGTAATCATCGAATTATTAACGCCTGCAGATATTGTTCTGTTCTGTTCAGATAATTTTCTTTATGAAATGTAGATCAGTCATTTCTAACAAGTTAAATATCAACATCTTTATAAATTTATTTTGTGCACTTCCGTTTAAATCAATAGCATGTATTCACAAATTCTTTCTTTCTACTTGTCTGTCTCTCTCGCGCGAAAGCTTACTATTTTTACTTGCTATAGTTCATCCGCTCATTCGATCCATCGATCTCTCCATCGTTCTCTTTTTCATTTGTCTTCCATACATTCGTTGCAGAAAATATTATTCTGTATTTTTATATTTACATTATCATTTACTTTGTAATTCCTCAACTTTTAATTGGTGTCGGATAATTGTTTTCATCTCAAATAAATCCTGCTTCTTGCGTATATGCCGTTGACAATAATTCTTTTTTAGAGTTAACTTATGATCAATAATTTAAAACACGATGAATAGCGCAACACCAATTGAAAGTGAAGGTAATTTCAATACTTGTTTATCTTCTAATTCAAAATTTCTCTTTAGTTTCATAAGTGATAAAGAAAGATAGTCTAATTGTTCTGTGTAGATATAAAATACGCGCTTGAGGAGTGTCCAAAATATAGGACATAGTTATACTTTTCATTGTTATACTGTCTAGATAGTTATGCTTTAAAAGGAAATGGTACCGAGATTTCAATATAAATCAAACGCAGAAATTTAATTTTAGTTAGCAGTTTAATGCTAATTTCTTCTAAACGAAGAAAACTTGCGTTGATTTTAATATTACTTTAAACATTCGAAAGTTTATTGAAAATTCAATAAGTTTTTCGCAGATGTTTCTCATTTGTTATTAATTTTAATCAGACTGTAGATTGTTAATTCTATATATGATATTTACATTATTTCTAGGCGACATTTTTATTTAATTCTTTTCGCTTCTATCTCGCATCACAAATTATGAAACGATTAAAATACTAAATTTTATTGAAGGCACAAATGTTTCACTTTTTGTAATAATACTCCACTATTTACTGTGCTAGTAATACTTCTTTCAACAGAACAATTTCTTATTATAATCCGCTATTAAAAATTTAGTTTAAGTTCAATGGTGCACACATTTTATACTGTAAAAACTTATGCATTTTTCAATATAAAGAAACTCTTTCTTTTTTCGTGTAATTACAATGGCAGTATGAAAAACAATGTCTTTTGGAATTTTTGCTCAATAGATCATAGCATTTTAGTCGATTTACAAATAAAAACGTTGAATTATCGAAAGTGTATTTATTGCTGGATGTCTTACTTCAATCCTGTTTATTATTCAAATACTAAGTAAGAATTATTTAAAGAAATTTCCTCGGGAAGAGAAAACTTGTTCACTGAAGAGAGAAATAAAATTACTTTCTATCTATAGCTTTCAAGTATATTTTCAAACTATATCATTATGAAAAAGTATTCCTCAGTACTTTTAAATATTGGAATCCAAAAATGTTATGTGTTAAATAGTTGACAAATGAATATTTTCTGAATGAGAAATACAATAAGAATTTAATATTTGACAGGAAAACTCAATTCTACAAATAAAATGCTTCACTATGAGTACAACATGTGTGAATACACAGAGTGCCTCATTAAAGGTAGTAAATAAAATATTTTTTTACTAATGACTTTTAAAATCCAAGTTTTGTTAGTTATAATAGAGTAATGGGACTGTGTATAGAGATAATAATCCTTATATAGTTATTTTATCAAAATTTTAAAAGACATTCAATATTGTACCAATATGAAAAACTGTATTTTAAGTTTAAAATTTTTAGCAACAGAATTAGAGGAATAAACATTTTTTAATACTATTATATATTAGTAATGGATGTAATACTTTTTATCACATTTAATGAACACTCTGTGTATAGTAGAACCTACAATTTTTATATAAAGAAAGTTGATATAATGATGGGAAGACGATTCTTACGAGTTATGTTACAGATTAAGTATTGCATGTTGTAATATTCTTATCAATGAATCAAAATAAACTTAAATGCTGCATTAATAAAAAGAATAATGTGTTGATATGACAGTCTCATTATAGTACCAACGACAGAGATGAGTATTTTTCCTTCTAAACAAGAGACTCCAGCTCCATTTTATAATTGATGTTTAATAAAAAAAAAATTCAAAATTTGTAATTGCACCAGCTTACAACTAAAGCACAATACTTTATCATTGTGTTTTTATAACATCTTTGCTTTAAAAATTATATTTAAATGCATAACAAATTAGTTTTCTGTTCTGCTAATGTACCCTACAAACATAGTTGAATATTTAAAAATATTGTAAACAATTTTACATTCAATTGTAACAAAAATTTTTGATCACTGGTTTTAACATTCTAATTTCATTATGTCACAGGATACATACTTTTTATATAAACATAATAAAACAAATGTAAACCGTCTTAATTTCTAAACAATCATAAAATTTTACAACAAACAGTCATTATTTTAATAAAAATTTCACAAAAAATCTCATCAAATAAGAATATAAAATTTTGGAAACGATTACTTTAAAATAAAATTTATTTACAAAAAAAAAAATAGACTGTCGCAAACGTTTTCCGCGACGAAAAAGATGTACGTTACGTACCTAAAATCTTTCATCCATCGTTGGAGTGTTGTTACAGAGAATAAAAAAAATGTATTTATGTGATAGATAGAAGTCTTAATAAAGTTTTGTTGACAATATGTTAGCTAGTTGTTATCATCTAGTAATTATTACACGATTAACTGCTCTATAAGTAAATAATTGGTCGACTCATGTTTTAAGTACACTTTCATTACCGGGTAGTATAAGACATCATTCTGTGTCTTATTCTTAAGTAAGCGCAGAACAATATAAAATACTGGTTGTTTTATCATTATAATAATTATCAAGGTTAAAACTCTGTATTCGTAGTTTACTTGAACAGATTGAACCTACCTAATAAAATTTAGCATTTTCATGCTATTTGATACCAACTCTCTCACGCGCTCTCTCTCTCTCTCTCTCACGCTTTCTCTCCCTCTCTCTCAATCTTTCTATCTCTGTACATCAAAATTATTGTAAACGTAAATGCTCTGCATCTCTCCTTCAGTTATACTTTCAGTCTCTTTTGCATAGAGATATGCATGCTGAACATTTCGAGCATACCATAGGCCGCTTCGAAATTCGTGTGTTTCAAGGTGAGCTCGTATTATTACGCAACACCCCCATGGAAGCATTTTAATTTAAAAGAAAAAAAAGGAAGAAAAAAAAGTCATTTCTCATCCGCTTTATGCATCAAGCAGTCAACCTCTAATTAGTTCTATAACAATGTAGTCCCTTCACCCAGAACTAATGTATCATGGACTGTAATGTTTATGGTTTTCATTCTAGTTTTGCTGCTTCTTGATTATCTAATATATCCAATTCCCTAAGCTTATGGATCCTATAAGCGTGGAATCTGAAAAAAGAATTAGAATGACTTATTAAAAAATGCTTTTTTGTAAAGCAGATTTATTTTATATATTTAATTTGCAGTCATTGAATATGTTCACAAACCACTTACGGCATAATTCACTGTGGTAATAATTCAATGATCTCCTCTCAATAATTCCATCAACAAATTAAACGAACTACCTTCCCCCTCGGCGCGTTTTGCACTTAGCAATTCTTTTCCTGCCTGGCATGTTCTTTGTAAATCTGGAATTCTCAATAGTAATTCACCAAATTTGGCAGGCATCTCTGGGTACCTTGCTATGGTATACTGTTGTAATGCTTGTAAAGCTTTTTCCTGAGATGCTCGAACTTTTTCAGGTTCCTTCAATTCACTTGTGTCAGAAGTCAGCAGGACTATTACCTTCATATAACAGAAATTGAAAATTGTACCATTAGTTTTAAAAGCAGCATATTCTCTAATTGTAGTAGTACAAATCTCTATTAAGTTCCTTCAAATAAAAAAAGTAAATTTTTATTCTAATCAAATTCGTTTTTAAGTTTTTTAATTTTAGTATAATGGAAAACTAAAGATTAGATTACAATAAAGTATTAAATGAACAAATATAACTCTTCTTTTTAATATCAAAAGGAAATTTAAAAAAAGTCAAAAATACTATTTTCTGATTTGATTCTAAATATTTGTTAAGAACTTTAAATTTCATGTGGTGCAAAATGACATTCATATATTTTACTCAGTTTTAATAAAGATATAAATAAAACATAATAGTGAATAAAAGCATTTATGAAGTACTTAAACCTATTAAAAGAAAGTTTAACGAAATGTACACTCTAGGACCCGAAAAAAAACAATCACCTTCATCGCCACGTATTCGTACTGATCTACTCGGAGCCTTCTCAGATTGTTAGTAAATGCGAGCATCCTCTCGATGCAGGTCGCTAAACCAAGCTGTCTAGCTTGTTCCAATGTGATCGACTTGCCGAGAGATACTCTGATTTCACCGGGAGTGCTCATGCTGCGAAAACAGCACGAGAAGAGCAGTAACTCGCACCAGGAATTGATTAACAGGCAGATTTGATCGTCGATCGAAATGTTCTTAAACAACGGCAAACTCTTGCACCATTTCACTATTTTGTAGAGGCGATGGTCAGCGATGTTACAAAGGTTTGACAGAAAATCAGGATGCTGGGTCGAGTTGCCATTTGAATTGTTACCCATTTGAGAATTACTATTAATAGGCGTAGCTCGTTGTTCGTTACCGACAGCAGATACGTTAGAGCACGACCTGTCGTCTCTTCTACTGGTAGGATTTCCGTTTCCTGCGGTTCCATTAGTAGGACATTCAACTACCGAACCTGTGTCGTTTCCTATTCCGGGTCCTCCTCCGTTTCCAACTCCTAATAACATTGTATCGTTGTTTCGCGTAGCATTTGTTGCTCCAGCCTGAATCCCGGACATACGATCGTTATCGTTGTAATGCCATAAGTGTTCCACGTCCATGATATCTTGTAGAAGTTGCGGCACCACCTGCATTTTATGCGAATGATTCGAATGATGCCTAGCAGGATAGTAATATTCGCTACCAGGCGGAGCTGGGCTACAATTTCCCCCTGTGGCTAACTTGTCGCTGGCCATACTGTTTGCAGGACTACCAACGAGACTTGCTGGAAGGGTGTACGTACATTGGTAGGTACTTCTTCCACCTCTGGTGCGATCCTCTCTAATCGCCTCGAGCTTCATACCTGGTAACAATAGTTCACTTGAAATCTATTCATCAATAAAATAATAAACTGTGAGTTTACTTAAGCCTTTCATAAAAAAGGAAACAAGAACTACCCTTTTTTAATCTCATTTTTAATTAAACTGTAGTAGTTAATTATATTTTTTAAGGAAACTAAAGTCGAAGCACAAAATTACAAGTTATATATCTATTATTATGAACACATCTGACATAACTCTTTTTTTATTTTTGGACGAGAACAGATGGAAGAGATCTATCTTCAGAATGACAAGAGATCAGTGATATAGTAGGATTTATTTCACAACTTACCCATATTGAGGCACTTGTCAAAGCGACAGGCGGGGCACTTTTTCCTGGTAGCTACAGTAACCGGGCAGCCCGCGCCTCTAAGGCACACATAGTTTTTCCGATTTTGGACGGTGCGTTTGAAGAATCCTTTGCACGACTCGCAGGAGAAAATACCGTAATGAAAACCGCTGATCTTGTCTCCGCAAATTGGACACGGACTATTGATCAGTTGCTGTCTGGTAGAAATGCCGGATGGCGCTGATGGTATACGACAGTCTTCCTGATCGTCAGTAGCAACGTGTCCTTCGGCAGACAGCTCAGAACCCGGCGCAGAGGAAGAATAATGATGAGCAATGGCAGGCGAAGCCGTTGCAGGTAGATGGAGAGGACTTCCCTGAGCCACCTGATGCTGATGATGCTGCGGATGTCTAGGTTGCTGGACGGGTGAGTGCGTGGGTGGACTGAGAGAACCGTAGCTGTAGCAGCTACTCGAGGCGTCAGAATTATTCCTCGAGAGTGAATGTGACAATGATAATGATAACGAAGAAGTGGAATTGTTGAAGCTATGTCGCGAAAGGGATAACGACGAAGACGGAACTGGACTTCCTGCTCCTAGAGCAGAGTGACGAGCTGCATGGGGACTCTGCGTCGGTGAACTAAATACACTGTATGCGGAGTGAATTGCAGAGTCCGGTGACGGCACCTGAAACGTTTTAAAAGCGTGCAAAACTAAGAAAATATATAAGAAAAAGCTTTGAGAAAAATTGGAAGAAAATATATGGAAATATCAAAAAAGTAAGTACTTTATGTTCTTAAAGTTTCCTATGTAAATTCAGAATACTACTTATATATATAAAGAATAGTAAGAATATGTTGATCCATATTACCTGTGATCTTGTGTGGCTATGTTTAGTCAAATGATGTCTTGGATTTAACACTGGACTGTGATTTGGAGTTGAACTATTGTAACCACCACCGAGTAGTTTTCCTACGAGAAGGGGCAAATCATTCTGCTGCGTCTGTTCAAGATTCTCGATGTTACGTTGTTGCTGCTGTTGCTGTTGTTGCATCTGCTGGCCATGAGCCATGGGTAATCCTGCGTCGTGGAAAGAACCGAATGCAAACCCCGGGCTGGATCGGAAATCAGGTTCTGGTTTTATGGGAAATTTCTGTTCCATGGGCCCAGGACTCGCGCCACATACTTGGACGCCCTCCATTGATGTGTCCTCGTGTGTATCCTGTAGTAAAATAAATATTTTAGAAAAATGTAAAGGTCATTTTCTACAGGCAACAACAGGTATTGACATAAGTTAAGATAACCGCAGGTAAGTCAATTGTGCAATAATATTTACTTGATTCGTAATTGTATTGGAAGACATTTCTTGGTCGGATAGTTCTCCTTCCCATGACATGGGTCTTTCAGGTTGTTGCTGGGACACGTCGTTCCCATCGTAGCAACCGCTTCCATCCTCGACGTCCCCATCGCCGATTTTCTCTCCGCTCTGACTACCTGAGACATCTCGTTTCTTCTTCGTGCGCAAATTTACTCCTCGGAAGTCGATTTTGCTTATCTCGACGTCACTGTCCTCCGCATCTTCATCGGCGGCATTTTGGTTCAGTACATTCACTCCAATGCCTATACCGATGCTCTGCGATCCAGTGCTAGTGCTAATTCCCGTAGTGGACACAACGTTTGCGTTTCCACAGCCCGGAACAGAGGCACAGTTCGAAACTACGGATACCGTCACGCCATTTTGCCCAGCAAGATACTTGCATATACCCTAAATTATTATATTATAATTCAATATAAAAAGTAAACAAATTTTTGCTGTTGTTATTTAGTTTAGCTCTTCGAATGCAAGTTGTATTTGGAACAATATTCTGATATTTTCTGTCATTTCAATTAGTATCAATGAGAGTTTAATAACACACTAATGTTCTATATACTGATAGTAAGCATTTCTATAATTAATAAAGTGTTCATTCAAAAAGTACTTCAACTTTATGGTTACTAAACAGCATTTGGTTTTAATATTTGCTCATGAGAAAAAGGAATCCCATCATGGTACTGTGTTATCATTACATAATATTAAGGTTACAAACATCATATGTTTTTGGTAATATGAAAGAATATAGAAAGAAGGAACTATTTATCACATATTGCTATTATAAATTGATGTGATGTAATATTAGATAATATTATAACACAATGAATTAATATAATCAACTTCTAAACAAAGTATTTAAGCAAAGAATTAAGATCAGCGAATTCTATTATTGGTACAGAACTTTTGTGCTTCTGGAAATTGTGTGAATTACTAAACTATACTTCTTGTGTGTTACTTAACACAAAAAGGTTTCATTGCATGTCACAAAGCAATTTCCTAACCAGAGAGAAGGAATAAAAGTCATCATAGATAATATGAAATGTATAATCTCAATCTTCATATTAAACAAGTATTTCAAATTATCGTATTCTTCGAAATTTATGACCTATTAAAATGCTAGCTTATGAGTAGCACTTCAACCGGTCATAAGTTTGTTTAATATAAAGATTGAGGTTATGTATTCCATATTACCGTTTGCTACTTAAAAGTTCAAAGACAATCTTCATTCTTCCACTTTGGTGTAATACTGAAAAATTGTATTGCGTTGCTGAAAAAGGCCTCTTCATGCTAAACAAAAAGAAAAAAACACACACATACAAATTTCAATCTTTCACATTTTCAAAGGTATCGTCATCCTGTAATGAAAATCAACTAAATAAAAACTATTACTTTCTGAAAATAGGCAACTTTTCAGCAATCGACACTCACTGTCGTGTATATCCTGATTAGGGGGAACGTTGATTGTTGTGACAGAAACATTTTTCCCCGTCTCGGAGGAACGGGCCGCGGTGATCGTGCAGGAAGGTCCGCTGGCAGGAGTCGAGGAGCAGCAGCTGGTCGAGGAAGTGGCCGAAGTGGTGGTCGGCAGAGAGGAGGTAGATGTGGTGCAGGACGCAGAGACGGAGGCGGAGTTGTCTGAAGCGGCGGAACCGGCAGAACTGGCGGACGAGGAGGCGGAGCAGGAGTTTGTCTTCCAGGACTGCGAGGAAGTTGGCCACCAACCAGGACCCGGCCCCGGGCCTGGTCCTGGACCCTCGCTGGGTCCGTTTTGCTCCGACATCCTCAGCTGGTTCTTCTGCCGCACGCTCGTGACGCGACTCGAAGTCTTTGGATCGTCGCGAAACTCTGCAGCATCCTGGGAGAACCTCTCTCACTGCGCTAACTGCTCCTCCCGGCTATTTCCCGAATTTTAATTTCTTGCGTGAGTGTTTCTTCTTGATCACGTAAGCGTGAATTCGGACATGGGGAAATGCTCGGTACCTGTAAGCCTGTAAGCAGAAAGGTAAGGATGTTTGAAAAAATTGGAAGAACGAAGATAATAATTATTAATAATAATTTTAATTTTTAACACAACA